AAGTCAAGAAAAGAAATAAAAGGTATATAAATTAAGAAGAAACACATTAAAGTCTTTGTGCACAAGTGATATGATTTTCTATGGAGATATCCCATAGAATCAACACTAACAACACAGCAACAAACACAACAACTTAGAACTAATAAGCATTTATATCAAAGTTGCAGGATACAAGGTTAGTGTATAATACATTGCTTACCAGCAATGAACAATTAGAATTTGAAATAAAGCATAATGTCACTTATATTAGCACTAGAAATATTAAATAATTTGATAAAAATCTAATAAAATGTGCATAGGGTCTATGTAAGAAACCACAACTCTGATGAAAAAATCAAAGAAAACTAAATAAATGGAGAGATAGTCTATGATTATTATATTCCATGAATAGAAAGACTCAATTTAGTTAATATGTTAGTTCTTTCCAAATTGATCTATAGATTTAACACAATCACAAGCATAATCTCAGCAGGTTATTTTGTGGCTATCGACAAACTGATTTTAAAGATTATACGAAAAGGAAAAAGACTCCAAGTAGCCAATGCAATACTAATGAAGAAGAACAAAAAAAAAAAAAAGAACAAAGTCAGAGGATTGGATAACACTATCCTAACTTCAGGGTTTGTTATACAGCTATGATAATAGACACAGAGTGGTAAAGAATAGACAAATAGGTCAATGGCAAAGAATAGGAGCTAGAAGGATTCTTAGTGCAGTGAAACTCTTCTCTATGAAACTGTAATATTGTATACATGACATTCCGTATTTTTCAACAGTTATGGAACTATACAAGAAGAGTGATTCTTAATGTAAATTATGCACTTTAATTAATAATAATAAATCAATATTTTTTCATTAATTGTAACAAATGCACCATACAGATGTAACATCATAATAATAGACAAAACTATGGGAGAATATGGGAACTCTTTGTCCTACGTGCTCAATTTTTCACTAAACCTAAAACTGTTTTAAAAACGAAAGTCTATTAATTTAAAAAATGTGAGGGCATAAGTTAAAATGTGGGAGTTGTCTCTCTCTGTCTTCATAACCACTCTCTGCTCAAGCAAGCCCAGCCCCAAATCCACTGTCCTAAATTATTTTCAAATTAGTTTACTTCTCTTTTTAATTCTATTGTCATTTTCTAGCAGAAATCGTCATCACTTCTACCTGGATTTTGCGGTAACTTCCCAGCTTCTTGCCTCCTACCTTTCTGTCTTCTAGTCCGCTACTCAAAATGTTAACAGTGTGATCTTTCTTTAATACAAAATGTATCACATCTCTGCACTGCTTAAAACCTTTCACTGTTTTTCCATTTCCAAACTTCTTTCCCTGCCTTATAAGAACCTTTATTATCTATCTTTTGTTTATCTTTCAGTTCTTTCCTTCGACTGCATTCTTTTTTGCCTTCTAGAATCGAGTTATATTGAACTTTGCATAGTTCCACTACAGCCATGTTCTGCATTGTCTTCTATCTTAGTGTCTGATATTCTTACTGCTTGAGTACTTCCCTTGCCATTCTTTCTTTGCCTGGTTTATGCTTTGTCCTTTGGAATTTACCTTGGCTACTATACCATCTAGGAACCTATTCCCTACAAACCTAAGCTAAATAAATATCCCTCCTAAGTTACCTTGACTTTTCCTTAACATGATATGCAAACTTCTTACTCTGTTCTCAATATCTGCCATCAATATCATAACCTTTGTCTACATATGCACTGAGCTCATCCCAGAATCTTTAGTATAACAAGCTCTTCATTACATACTTGTTAAAAAAAATAAACACTTAGCATCAGCCCTAATGATGTCACAACTAAATCCATGTTATTAATGAAAACCAGCCCTCATTTTTTGTTAATTTGGATGGCTTAAATAAAAGAACAGGAATATGAATCCAAAGAGCTGAATCATGTATTAGAATATTAAATTCTTCTGATTTGCCAGGACCCTCCTAAAAACTCAGGTAACTATTTTGCTAACAGTTTTATTGACATATAAATTGAGACGTATATTGAGATTCACATACGATACATTTCGCCCATTTAGAGTGTATGATTCAGTAGTTTTTGGTATAGTTGGAGATGGGTAACCATCACTGCAGTCAATTATAGAACACTTTCATTACCACAAAAAAAATCCTGCACTCTTTAGCCATCACCCCCCAGATTCCTCCCCTGCCCTCAAATCTTAGGCAACCCACTAATCTACTTCCAGTTTCCATAGATGTACCTATTCTAGAATCATATAATTTGTGGTCTATAATGTCAGGCTTTTTCACTATTTTTCTGCTTTTAAGTTTCATCTGCATTGCTCAGATAACTTTGGTTGTTTTAGTTGTATATCTTGGAAGTTTTCAGCAGTAGAGCTAGCCAAAACATAGTCAAATCTAACTGATCTATTCATTAAAAAAATTTTCAATGTAATAATGGACATTTATTTTATGTGCCAATGTACATTGTATCAAACATAGTTTATATGAGAAAGGTTAAGGTTTAACAATGGTTATGAAAACTTTATTCTTTACACTAGCCTGGCATTTCAGGCTTTTCAAAACTACATTATACTCCATAAATAGGATGTACACTTTCCTTCACAAGGGTTTACTTTAGTATATTGTGGAATATAATAGTACTAGATAGATGGCATTCTGTCTACAAATATATCCACAGCTCTTGGAATTGACTATTTAAATGTATGTACCAGGAATATTATTTGACTAAATCCTGCACCCTTGTAGAAACAGTTCAGCATGCTCTTGAAAGCATAAAGGCTGTCATTGTTTGATAGAATATGGTATTATCTTTTTCCAAAAGTTAGAGATGAAAACATAGAGAATGAGTCTTAAATTTTGATGAAATATACATTTATACTTCAGAGCATTTGTGAACACTTGATTTACTGCTGAGAAAAAAATATTAACAGCTCAGTTTGCTTCATTATGTGTGTAATAAAGCAACTAATGTTCTTTTCCTCCCTTTTGTACAAATGGTAAATGAAGATTTGCATTCTGGGTACAGCTTCCTCTTGGGGAAGCAATAGAAGCCTAGACTGACATTCCCTAAGCCCCAAACCTTGTTAAAAGTGGTTTCAATCCTGGGGACCTAATGCACTGATTGCTTCCCTAGAAGGAGTCTCATTGCCTGCTCCATTCGGTCCTATTACTGAAGGTCTAATTACATCTATTATGCTGTTCAGTTTCACAGAAGGTTGAGAAAGAAAATGAGAGATATTAGGGGATGGGATTGGGGGCGTGTAACACACACACGCACATACACACACACACACACACACTCTCTCTCTCTCTCTCTCTCTCTCATGTTGTGGTTTCTGAGAAATGCACCCATGACCCAACTGGAGAATTTGTGAAATTATATCTAAACTATCAAGTGTGTTAGTGTAACAAGACAAAATGGAGATGATTCCAATGCCATATGATTGCCCAGGCAACAGAGATCCAATTACACTGTCAAAATCTGAGGTCCTGGAGCTTAAAAGCCCCATAGGCCCTCTTTGCAGCCAAACGCTTCTTTTCCCCATCAGTAAAAGGGCAAGTAAAGCATTTCTGATTCCATTGTAAAGTGTGACTTAACATTCCGAGACCCCCGGAACCTTTCCTAGCCTATTCTTTCCCTGTATCGTGCAAACAGTATATGCTTATGCTATGCTTTTGTGTAGTCTAGATGAAAACTGTTATCAAGGCCCTAATAGAGCTCAAAATGGAAAGGGAGAGGGCACAGAAGGGAGACTCATTATTTTTTAAATGGCTTCACTTTTCCCATAGGAATCTTATATATCCCACTTAGCAGAAGCTCATTCCAGCACTGATTAAGTGGGAAATACACAGAATCTCAAAAGGTCAGATCTATAATCAGCTGTCCTCAGGGGTTGACACGGAAAACTTCTTAATCCAACTTGAATTTATTGCCATCTTATAAGAAAGTGCAGCAAATGATAAGGCATTAAGAATATATATTATATATATTAAATATACTTAATATATTTACATATATATCACAGACAAATATGTTTGTGTGTGTGTGTGTGTGTGTGAATGCAAGATTTCTACCTGTCTACACTCATAGTAAACTGGTTTATTTGAGGCATTTGTAGGCAATCTTATAGTATTTTTACTTTATGTTGATTTGTTTTTTGTATTTTGAAACTATAACACCTTAAGCTTATGGGGGAATGGTTCTGTATTTATTTATGAGAAACAATTGGAAAATAAGAGTCTAAACCTGTATGACTGAAAAAGAAAGTTTGTCAAATAGGATAATAGAAAAGAGGAAAAACAAATACAATTCTTAATAAGTTGCCAAACTGTGTAACTGCAAACCTGTGATAAAACACTTCTTTGTGGGAAGAATATACTTGTGGAGCCGGATGGCTTAAGCTGGACAAAGCCCGGTTTCTTGTCTCCTTAAATGCATTTTTACTTATTTTAGTAAAGAACTATTAGTCAATATTTCATTAAAAAATGACTTTGGTCAAAAGCTGAAGGTTTTTTACTCATCATACCTTAAAATGTCATCTCTATTTATGTCCTGACATAAATTTGTAGTCATTTCTATCCCCTTTATGCTGAGAGCAGCACCCAAATACAAAATGTTAAATCAGTCATGAACCTGCACACTTGCTTATCTGAGTGGAAGAAAATAGATTGTTCTTCTCTTCTCTCCTTATTCCAGGTAGTTATTAAGTTAAGCCTGGAAGAAAATTGACCTTGGAGTCGTCTTGAGTGCTGAGATTGAGAAAAGGTGTGAAGGCTTCTCATTTAAACATTATTCCACTCCCCTACTTCCTGGGAGACAACACAGTCTTACAAGAGTGATGGAAAGGAAGTGATTTAAGTGGCAAGATGGCATTTTTTTTTCCCATGACATTGAGTGGTTTTTCCTTATCAGGGCTTATGAAAGCACTTGTCATTCCTATCTTTTCCCACTTCCCAAAGAATAAGAAAGGAGAAAGAGAGATCCAGAAGTGGAGGAGGGTTTTCCTACCTCTTCTGCTCATAGGAAAGCCAGGAGAAAGTACACAGCAAGTAGAGACATTGAAGAGATGAATGTCTGTCCCTTTGTAGTGCTGAGTATGTCACAATGAGTAAGAACACACTTCTGTTTGTCAGAGACACTGAGAACACAGCAGCCAGGAAGTAGGAAGACGGTGAGAAGGAGCTGCTCTTGGAAACAGGAACACATTCTCGCTGACTCTATGCAGTGGAAACATGGGAATGGATTGGCTAAGAGCACAGGGCATGATTCACTTACCTGCGCTTGAGTCCCAACCATATGATCCAGGGAAACCTAGTTAAGTTCTCTGGGCCTCACATTTTGTATCTGCAACATGAGGATAATAATTGTAGCTGTTTCCAAAGTTTTGAGGGAAAATTAAATGAAATAATAAATGAAGATCAATGAGCACAAAGACTAGCACTTCGTAAGTGCTTATTAGATATCAGCTGCTGACAGTGTTACTGTAGGGAGACAAAGACGTTAAGGGTGACAAAAATTGTTCTAGTGCTAATCAACAATGATGGTGATGAGAAAGAATAACTGAAGGTGTTTGCTGAGAGGTACAGGTGATTTGGCCAATTGGCTTGAATAGGTCAAATGTTTCAATAAATTCAGGGATTTACTTATTAAGGAAATAATTAATGAAGAGCTTTCAATGGTAAATTTCATGGAGGTGTGTACTGTACTCCCTTTCCAACCAAGTCAGGATTGGCTTCTTATGGAAAACTTATCTTGAACTGAAAAGAATGCTTTTGTTTTGTTTTGTTTTTGTGGGGATGCTCCAGTCTGCTTATTGTCTTTTTAAAAATCAATTTTATTATGTATATTTGAGGTTTACAACATTATATTATGGGATACAGATAGTGAAATGAATACCCAAAGCAATGTAGTTAACCCTTGAACAACATGGGTTTGAACTGTGTACGTCCACTTATAGGTAGATTGTTTTCAATAAAAGTTACATACACCAGATGTGCTTGCCTCTCTTGCCTCCCCTTTCAGCTCCTGCACCTCTTCCTCCTTTGCAACCCCAAGACAGGCCAACCCTTATTCTTTCTCCTCCTCCTCAGCTTCCTCAATGTGAATACAATAAGGATGGAAACCTTTGTTATGATCCACTTCCACTTTATAAATGGTAAATATATGTCTCTTCCTTATAATTTCCTCAGTGACATTTTCTTTTCTCTAGCTTATTTTATTGTAAGAATACAGTATATAACATACAAAATATGTGCCAACTGTTTATGTAAATTAATGAGGCTTGCCTTCAACATTAGGTTGTTAGTAGTTATGTTTTGGGGAGTCAAAAGTTATACATGGGTTTGCAACTGCCATGGGGGTTGACCCCCCTAACTTCTGCATTGTTTAAGGGTCAACTATATACAGATGCAATACAATCACTATCCAAATTCAATAGCATTATTCACAGAAACAATTCTAAAATTCATATGGAAGCACAAAAACCTGAATAGCCAAAACAATACTGAGAGAGAAAAACAAAGTGGGGGGGGGCACTAAATACCACTGTCCTTCATTTGAACATAGCACTTATACTAAAGCAAGTCTTAATGTTTATATATTTTTTGAGGGCCTACTATGTAACAAGTACTGTTCTAAGTGCTGGAATTCAATAGGAACACATCTCCTAAGATATATATTCCAATGGAGGGAGACAAACAATAAATTAAACAAAGGAATAAACAAACAAGGTTGCTTCACATTGTCATGAATGTGATAAAGGAAATATCCAATTTGGGGATAGAATTGCTGTTTTAGGAAAGGCTTCATTAAGGCGCCTTTAAGCGGAGGCATGGAGAATGCAAAGGTGCTTGTCATGCAAGGGAACTGGTTTGGAGAATGAAAAGGTGCCAAGCATGGCTGAGGCATGGTGAGAGGGAGAGCAGAAGCTGAGGCCTGAGAACTTGCAGGAGGCAGGCAGATCAGCTGGGCACTGCAAGCCATGGCCAGGTTTGGGATTTAGAAGCTGCTAATTAATGTCTGGATGTGTGTGTGTGTGTGTGTGTGTGTGTGTGTGTGTGTGTGTGTGTGTGTGTGAAAGAGAGAGAGAGAGAGAGAGAGAGAGTTCGGCTAGATAACTGAATTATTTGTTTCCATTTTTTTAACACCCATGTTTTTGTATGCATGCAGAACTACCACAATTAAAAATCAATCATAATGGCTGGGAAAGCTGCACGTTTCAAGTGGAGTTCATCTGTTAAAGAAGACAAGCTAGTTGAGACAGAGCTGTTTTCACACATACACATAGATGAACACGTATACACCCATATGCCGTATGTCTTTACATTTCATTTTTTAAGCAGGGACATGACTTTGCCTAATTTCCATTTTAAGTTAACATCTTGACTGTGGGATGAACAATGGACTGTAGGAGGACAATCCTGAGAGCAGGGAAACCAATGGGAAGCAATTTTAGTGCCTAGACGAGAGATAGTGACAGCTTGAAATGGGATGGGAACTAGGGAGATAGCATCATGTCTCTACACAGATATAAAGATATATATGTGCATATCTATGTATTAATATATGTGATATATTTTGGAGGTAAAACTCATGATGGATTGAATATATGGATTGAGTCACAGGAAAATTAATGTGGGTTGTGGTACAAAATAAGCAGGGAGCGGGTGGGTGTTTAACATGACAGACTTTCGTTGAGGAAAAACACTCTGGCCTTCCATAAATCACTGTAGCATGCAACATCGGGAGCTGAAAAGGACCAAAAAACTCCATTAGCACTGAACCATAGCATCTCCATAATAGACATATTTAACAAAATGACATTAGTGCTATTCATTTTCCTTGTTACACATATTTGAAAAACCAGGCCGGAGAAGTACAGAGTAGTACATATGGTGTTATCACAATGTTACTGAGAATACAGGAGAAAAACCAAATCAAGAGCAGCCTGCTTTACAAAGGTGGGAGGCAAATGCACTTCATGTTCCTTTAAACCCTCAAATCTCTTATGCTGTGTTCCACCCACAAGCTGCAACCCAATGTCTAGTAGGTGCCGAGGTCTCCTCCAATGGCAGTGGTTTTCAAAGAACATGTATAACCCGATAGCGGCTAATAATTACATACAATTTGTGAGAATTTTGTTTTCCAGCATTGGAAAACAAGTAGAATACAATAGAAAACAGTACAGTGTGTCTTCTATAATATATGGTTTTGTGAAACCTTCGTTTTTGCTTTATGTAGGTACGTGGACGTGTAAATGTATCACAACACAAAATGAATTTCTCACAATGGCTCTATGAAAAATAAAAGCTAAAAAGCTACCACTCGCAGTTGCATTCTTACTGGGAAATCTCCAGTTCCTTGCTCCAGTATGACTGTCCAAATGTTGTAGACTAGGTTTATTTTCTCAGCCACATCCACATTACATCCTCATGACAGGCAGACAAGGATGAGTTAATGAGACATTGAAGATCAATTACTTGGTGGGTGATGGTTGCTGGAAAAGAGGTAGAGAACATACAACCTGCCAAGAGACTGGGAAAATGAGAGGGGCATGTGGAGAGTTTTCCAGAAAGCCACACAAAAACAATAGAGTGCAGGCCAATAGTCAGAGGGATGTTTGGGGAAGGGCTGGCAAAAAAACAGAGTGGAGGGTCTCATGAGTCCTCTTTGCATTGCACAGTTTTGCTTATGTCCACCTTTGGATAACTTGACATGGTCAGGAGACCCATAACTGACATCTAAAGAATTTCTAGATGGGCACTATAAATGCTACTTCTTTCCAAAGGAGAACTTGAGTTTAGAAATGTCACTGCATACTTTGTGGCTCTGTGTCCCCATTCCCCACGATAAAACCCACGTATTGGATATGGGCTATAGGCAAGACCTATACCTGATATCTTCATGTCACTCAGAGATGAATCCTATGAGATTTTTAGATAGAACAAAGCCAAATTGTAAGCCAAGATAGAGCAATTGTCCAAGATCCTTCCTGGCAGTGGCAAGGGAAAGGGTTTACAAGATTTAGAGTGAATAAAAAAAGCTTGTGGTTTTCCAAACCTCCTCGGCCCAGGGCACCTCATTCAGAAAGAAGTAACTGTACAAGACTAGGGTTCAAGTTTCTGGGTCCAGCCTTTCTCCTTGAAGGCTATTGTCTCTTAGGGTGGTTCAAGTCCTGAGCAATTGTGCAGTGGGCCAACTCTGACTTTGGTACCTGAGGGTACGAAAATGGAGGGATTTGTGATGTACAATAAAATACTGGATCTCCCTTATTTTTCTTTCTAGCTTGCTTTAAATGTTATTCTGTCATTGACTTTATCAAATAATTCTAACACTGGAATTGAGGCCACTGTTATCTTTTTAAACATTCCCTAATAAATGATATGGTTTCACACATCCATACCATGCCTCTCATAGTTTCTAGTTAAGTCTCTGACCAATTTCTTAGTGGGATGCAGAGAGAATAGTGTGGGGCGATTCTTGGAATCCACCTAAGAGAAGGAACATGTTGAGTATTATAATTAGTGACTGTTGAACAGAACAATTTTGGGGGGTTGCAATTTAAGAGGGATATCAGCCAACTGGGATGTGTCCAGAAAAGGGAAAATGGATGATTTAATGTTACAGATCTGGAAAACAAATTACATGCAAAAGAATTAAAGAAAGTAGGAATTCATTTATTCAGTAGGGCAATATGATCCCTATTATATTGCTAACACTGGACTAAAGTCTGAAAAAGCCTCTCTAAGGAAGTTTAGTCAAAGAAAAGAGAATATTTTAGTGAGATGTGAAAGTAGCCATCATCTATGTTAAGGACATTTATCTAGATAGAGGATAGATTAAACTTCCTTGGGTCTCCATTTTCTTATTTGTTAAATAAAAGAATTGTAGGAGGAGGTGGAGGAGGAGAAGGGGGAAGAAGAGGAGGGAAAAGAGGAGGAGGAGAAGAGACACAGAATTGGACCAAATTGATATTTTTCAGCAGGGGTGGCCAGATTTTGTGAGGCTTAAAGCTTATAAAATCTGGGGACACTTTTTAAGAAAGGAAAATTAGATGTGTATATTAATATTCATTTAGCAATTACTTTTTTTTAAAGTTGACAAATACTAGAAACATTCTAAAGTCCAGGGGAAAAGAACAATCATTTTATTAGTTAGCTG